GCCAGTTGGTGGGTGTGACCCCCACCTACTGGAATTTGGAGGATCTGGGTGGAGGATGCTCAGCCCCAATCCGAGTAGGCTTGGAGATCTCGGCCCCGGAACCCGCATGGCTTTGTCCCTCTGCCAGTACCTTCATGTGTGCGGAGAGTGGTCTCAGCATGGTGGTGACTGGTCCTGGAGGTCTTTGGCTGCCGGAGCCCTGGTCGGGGCCAGGAGGAAAGCTCAACCCGCTCCCCGGGGTCCCGGCGAGGACAGCCAGGTGCGGGGGCAAGAGACTGCACTGATCTCTTCCGGGAGCTGGTTTTTATAGTCTCTGAGTCTTGGCCGTTGATGGGTTTACATGGTGCCAGGGGCCAGTTGGTGGGTGTGACCCCCGCCTACTGGAATTTGGACCCATCAACATCAATGGCCAAGACTCAGAGACTATAAAAACCAGCTGAAAAGGCAACAGTAGACAATTTGTTTTCTATTGCTGGTTATGAATGACATATGATGTCGTGTGGCTGCATATTTTTAGATGCTTCCTTACTTTAGCTTTCTTCTTTATGGACTCTTATTAAAAGTTTATATATATAGATAGATAAATATATATACATTTCTAATATACCATTTTCTATCAAATCCTTTTAACATTATTTTAAAACAAAAAGATAATTGAAAGTTTTAAACTCAATTTTTTTAAAAACTGGGCACCAGAACAATAGTACAGTGAGTGAGGCACTAGCCTTGCATGTTGTATACCCAGGTTTGATCCCCAGCACCCCATATGATCTCCAGAACCCCACCGAAAATGATCCCTGAGTACAAGGAGTCAGGAGTAAGCCCTGAGCAGAGGCATTTTTCAGAGTTTGCTCCTAGCTCTGTACTTAGGGATCACTCCTGGTGGGTCTCGGGGGATCATATGTGGTGCCAGTGATAGAACCTGGGTTGGCAGTGAACAAGGCAAGTGCTCTATCCACTGTACTATCACTCAGGCCTGATAATATTATGATTTTTGACATGCGCTCCCCCCCCCCAAAAAAAAACCCTCCTCTATGATGTAGAAAATAAGCATGATTGCCCAAAGTGTTACTGTGTTCCTTCATAATCTCAACTTCATTTTTCCTCTTCATCCTCAGGAAGCAGCTGATCTACTTTCTGTCACCATAGTTCAGTTTGCGTTCTCTATAATGTCATACAAGTGGAACCATAGTAATATGGATACTTTTAATTATACCTTCTTTCATTCAGCATGCTATTCTGTTAATTCACCCATGCTGTTCCGTGTGTCAGTTGTTCATTCCTATATATCGCTAGGATTCCACTGTGTGGACAGGTCTGTCTAATTGTCAGTCCATCTGTTTCTGAGTATTTGAGTTGTTTCCACTTTTCTTCTATTACAAAATTAAAAAGCTCGGATGATCACTTGTGTTCAAGCATTTCTGTGCATACATGCATATAGCATATGCATGGTTGTATATGTGTATTTGATATATATAGATATAGATATAGATGATATTTCACTGTCACTGTCCTCCTGTTGTTCATCTATTTGCTCGAGCGGGCCCAGTAATGTCTCCATTGTGACACTTGTTACTGTGTTTGGCCTGTTGAATACGTCATGGGGAGCTTTCCAGGCTTCGCCGTGCAGGTGAGATACTCTCCATAGCCTGCTGGGCTCTCTGAGAGGGGCAGAGGAATCAAACCTGGGTCAGCCGGGTCAGCCACATGCAAGGCAAATGCCCTACCCACTGTGCTATGACTCAACCCATATGATTTTTATAACTGTACAACCTTGAAAATAGGCTAATATCTTATTTTACGTTTATATCTCAATAAGGATTTATTGGAAGTCACAGAAATCATATGCTACTATTTTCCTAATAGTAGACTCAGACAAGTCAAGTATGATCAGTGTTCCAGTATAATATTTGTATTTTATGATCACCTATAACATTTTGCTTGGTACATAATTTTCTCTGTGTTTTAAAAGACAAGCAAGTTACTAATATTAATGGATAAATAAATCACTTATAAAAAAATAAATATCTAGCAGTGAAAAATGTCTAGGTGGTTTGATAATTTTGTGAGTAACCTTTGAAGATATTGTCAAACTTCCAAAGAGGTTGTAATATTTTATACTCCTATTATCATGATGGGCTGGAGCAATAGCACAGCGGGCAGGGCGTTTGCCTTACACACAACTGACCCGGGTTTGATTCCTTCATTCCTCTTGGAGAGCCCGACAAGTTACTGAGAGTATCCTCCCGCACAGCAGAGCCTGGCAAACTCCCCGTGGTGTATTGGATATGCCAAAAACAGTAACAACAAGTCCCACAATGGAGATGTTACTGGTGCCCGCTCGAGTAAAGCGATGAACAATGGGAGGATATTGCTACAGTTGCTACAGTGCTATTATCTTTGATGTCATTTTGTAGTTCAGCCTTAATAATTTAGGGCTGGAGAGATAGTACAGAAGATAAGGCCCTTGCTTGGCATGTGACTGGTCTGGGTTTGATCCCCATCATCCCATATGATCCTCCAAGCACTGCCAGTAGTAGAGCCCAGAGTAAGCCCTGAGCATTGCTAAATACGCCCCCAAAGCCAAAATATCATATGCATAAAATTTAGTTACGTGAATGGATGTGTAGTATTGTTACGGTTGTAATTTGAATTTACTCAATGATTAATTTTGTTGAACATATTTTTCATATGCTTATTTGCCACTTGTATATTTTATGTGGTGCATTTTTAAAATCTTGCATCTATTTTATGTTGAATATTATTATTTTTTAGCTTGATTTTTTTACACGCTCTAGGTGTAAGTTTTTGTTGCATAGATAATTATGGTCCATATTTTATGCCAGTCTGTGGCTTGCCTTTTTATTTTTGTGCTCAGGAATCACTCCTAGTGAGGCTTGGGAGAACCGTATGTGGTGCTGGGAATCAAACCCAGGTTAGCCTTATACAAGGCAAGTACCCTACCTGCTGGACCATCTCTCTTACCCCTTTAGTTTGAAACAATGTTTTTGAAAGACAGTGTTTAATTTTGTTAATTTATAAATTATGCATCTTATTTCTTATGTAAAGTACATTTGCTGTACCCAAGGTGACTAATTTGTCCCTAAGTTACCCTCCATAATATTGGTAATTAAAATTGATAATATTGTGATAATAGCACTGTCACTGTAGCACTGTCCTCCCGTTGTTCATTGATTTTGCTCAAGCGGGCCCAGTAACGTCTCCATTGTGAAACTTATTACTGTGTTTGGCATATCAAATACATCATGGGTAGCTTGCAAGGCTTTGCCGTGCGGACGAGATACTCTCCGTAGCTTGCTGGACTCTTGGAGTGGGGCAGAGGAAAATTAAACTTGGGTCGACTATGTTGGCTGCGTGCAAGGCAAATGCCCTACCCACTGTGCTATCTCTCCAGCCCATATTGTGATATTATAATTATAATTGATAATACCTTATGCAGCGGTAGGGCGTTTGCCTTGCACGCTGCTGGCCCGGTGGAGCCTGGTTCGATTCCTCCACCCCTCTCGGAGAGCCCGGCAAGCTTCCGAGAGTATCTCACCCGCACGGCAATGCCTGGCAAGCTCTTCGTGACATATTTGATATGCCAAACACAGTAACAACAAGTCTCATGATGGAGATGTTACTGGGTCTGCTTGAGCAAATTGATGAACAACGGGAGGCCAGTGCATTTTAGCTTGGAAATATATCATATTTTGCATATAGTTGTGCGTTTATTCCAACAATATTTGTTGGGAAAAAAATGACCATTTGCTCCTTGAGTTCTGGTCACATTGTGGTGACCCTGTTTGGCTTCCCACTTTCTGCATATTCTATTTAGTTACTGTTGATTTATTTGATTTGGGGGCCACACCTGGTATGGTTCACTTTAGGAATCACTCCCTGAGCGGCAGGCTCAGGGGATTATCTCAACTTGAGAGGGCCTAGGACTGAATCCAGTTTGGCCACTTGCAAAGCAAACGCCCTACCCGCTTTGCTGTGTTTCCAACCCTGGACATTCTGTTCTTATTTCTTCATCTATAAAATCTGTCTTTGTGCCAGAGCCACAGTGTCTAGTTTACTAGAGCACTTTAACAAGTTTTGAAATCAGGTATCATCTCTCTAACCAGTTTGCATTTTCACCAGTACTGAAAGAATGACTGATAGAACCAATCTAGTGCAAAGGATACTTTCCTTGAACCAAAAGAAAGTCCTATGATTCCGTTTTTGATCTTGTTGCTGTCTGTCTCTGTTGTTGATCCTGATTAATAGTTTGTCATAATTCAGTTTGAAAAAGCAAACTGATAGGTTAACAGGAAACTGATAAGAATGGTGTTTAAGTATTTAACAAGAATCCCAAAATGTGGGGAAAAAAAAGACTCCCCAAATTACACTTACATTTTTTTTTATGTAGAATAAAGCCTTTTAGCATAAACATAATGATTAAACTTTCTTGTAAGATTTACATAATGAAATTTCAATTCTGATCTTATTTTCATACCTAAATGATTTGCTTAAAGTTTAAAATTTTTCTAAGGTGAAGTGTTTATCATCGAAAGTTTTTCTGTTGCTTATGGGTCACCCTAGGGTGCTCAGGGTTTTCTCCTGGCTCTTTGTTCAGGGATTACTCCTGGTGGGGCTTGGGGTGCCATACGGGATGCTGGGGATTGAACCCAGGTTGGCCACCTGCAAGACAAGTGGCCTACCCACTGTACTGTCACTTTGGTCCTATTATTTTCAAATTAATGATTATAAACTAGAAATTTAGTTCATAATAACACGTTAAACAATTTTGATTTGGGGGCCGGAGTGACAGTACAGTGTTTAAGGCACTTGCCTTGCATGTTGCCAACGAGTTCAGTTCCCGGCATCCCATATGGTCCCCCAAGCACTGCTAGGAGTGATTCCTGAGTGCAGAGCCTAGGGTAAGCCCTGAGAATCGCTGGGTGTAGCTCCAAATTAAAACAAAAATAATAAATTAAAATTTTTGATTTCTCTGCCAGTGCTGGTCAAGATATCCAAGGAACGAGTGTTATTGCAAATCTTCCAGTTTTGATGCGACAGAATCCCACTGAGACACTGCGGAGAGTCTTGCCAAAAGTCAGAGTAAGTTGTAAATAAAGGTTTGCATCTACCATGAATTTCAGTAGCAGATTGTTATCAGAAAAAAAAATTTAGAGCTTTTGATGGCTAATCTTTTGTATTTAAGCACTCAGTGGAGGAAATATTGTGATACATATTTTGAATTACAATGAAAACATTTAGTGAAATAAGCTGCTGGAAATGGAGAAATCTAGACTGTGAATTGTAAAAAGTTTTTACAATTAAATGATTAAATTAAACAATTACAATGAAAAGTTTTTACATTAAATGTCTCATTTTATCAGTGGAGACATTTAAACAAAGTGGGCTCCTCAGTAGCTCAAAAAAGTCCCAATTATTCTATAGAGTCACAGCTATCTAATTTAAGTGTTTTGTTGATTTCAATTTATACTCATAGTATTTCTACAATACTGATAATTAAATTAAATTGGTATAAAGACTGGATTGTGGCCTTCATCATTTTAGTTCTAAATTTATTCTGCTTCCTAAATTACTAGATAATTAGTTTTCCTGTTTTGAGTAAATTATTTAAGGAGGATATTTCCCCTATTTAATATCTATTATTGATGCGTAACATTACATATTTAATAATATTTTGTGCCTATTCCTGCCAATGTGCAAAGTACTTTCCTAGTAAGAACTCTAGTGAGCAAATAATGATTTACATATCCACAGGGAACCTGATTACTAACCAGAGCAAGGAGTTTGCACGTGAATGGGGATTATGTTTGCTGATAGTGTACCCTGCACAGTCAGTTTGCTTTACTTTTTGCTTGTCACTTTTTGATATTTATCTGTCTTTTCAAGTATAATATTGCAGCATTAGACTTTAATTTCAGGGATATATGGTTCCAGTTATTGTGATTTTTTTTTTAAATCTGGGATATACTGTATTACTTATATAAGATACTCACATTCTGTGCAGACAACGTGATTGCTTTTCTTCTTTCTTTGTTTTGTGGGGACATACCTGACAGTCCTCAGGACTTGCTTCTGTGCCAGGGATCACTCCTGATGGTACTGGAGGACCATATGTGCTGGGGAATCAAACCAGGGTTGACCATGTGCAAGGAAGCTGCCTTTCCCTCGGTACCATCTCTTCAGCCCCAATACAATATTTTTTTTCAGTGATACCTAAAATTTTGTGTTTTAGACAAAACCAGGTGCTGCACATGGTTTACTCCTGAGGTCTGTGCTCAGGGATCACTCCTAGTGGAGCTTGGCGGGGGGGGGGCAATATGGGGTGATGGGGATTGAACCTGGGTTGGCCACGTACAAGGCAATCTCCTTATCTGCTGTAAATCTCTCTGATACTTCATGTTGATATATTTGTGCAAGTGATATGAGAGATTTTTCTTTTCTTTTCCTTTTCCTGGTTACAATGAAGGATTATAAAGATGTTTATTTTCAGTTTAGGACATAATTCAAAAGTGAATCAACCTTCTCTTTTTCATTTCTCTCTTTCTCAGAATCGTGCCATAATTTTAATGCAATTAAGAATCCACAGCTCAGCTTTAAATTTCTGTTCAACTTTAATAATATTAACGGACTTAAGCTTGTAAGCATAATGCCTGAAAGTGGCCGTGCCGGTAAAACAAGAATGAAGGAAAAGTAGGCACCCTGGACTAAGGAGTTAGTACTGCAGTGAGTGAGAGGGCAAACTGAAAATATTGAGCATGTTATTAAAAATTCAGTGTTGAGCAGGCTTATTCTGGTCGACAGAGAGCATGATTGTCCAGAATTCCATAAAATGAGAATAAGAGACAAAGCATGGACTTTAGTGACCTTTAGAAGTCTCTAAATGCTTTTTGAAAAATATTCCATTTTCTATAGTGCATTCACAATGAAGTCAAGTAAATAGCTCTGTAGATCTTAATTTCATGAAATGTATAAAGAATATTTTATACTTATATATGAGATATATTTATACAGAGAATCAAATGTATCTGATGAAACCAGATAACTGACTTATAGAAAACAGGATTTTAACATACTCCTAAGGTAATTAAAATTAATACATAATAGGATTAGCTAATAGATATAAAGAGACTAAAATAATGAAATCTATTAAGTGTTTACTTGTTGATGAATGATTTATTAATGATCTCATATATTTCTTTCGCTAGTTGGCAAGGAGCTATTTATTTAGGACTTGTTTACTTTATACTAAAATTTATACAATACAATATACAATGTTTATACAATATTTTTATACTAAAAATATTAAAGTTAGTTCCAGATTAGATTCTGTGTCAGAAAGGCCTAATAAATAGAAGACTATTAAAGAACAAGCACCAGAGAGTAAATTTAATTGTATGATTTTGATTTTATATAAAAATGCTGAAAAGTAAGCAAATGTTAAAGACTTTATGGAATTAGTGTAATGAATTTTATAGCTGTTTTAAAACATAATGTAGGCAGTTAAGCATGGAAAAAACCTGATTTCAAATAGTAAGTCTTAAGTTTATATGCAAACCATCTTTTTTAAATTTAATTTTTATTAGTGAAACACCATGAGGTACAGTTGCATTGCAGCACTGTTTACAATAGCCAGAATCTAGAAAAAACCTGAGTGCCTGAGAACGATGACTGGTTAAAGAAACTTTGGAACATCTACACAATGGAGTACTATGTAGCTGTTAGAAAAGATGAAGTCATAAAATTTACACACAAGTGGTACTACATGGAAAGTATCATGTTAAGTGAAATGAGTCAGAAAGAGAGGGATAGACATAGAAAGATTGCATTCATCTGGGGAACATAATGCAAACCATCTTAACATCATTATATTCTGATACTGTCAGGGCTTACTGGCGCTCATGGTTAGAACTTTGTGAGTTTTGCTTTGCTTCTGTGAGTGGTTACTTTAAGTGATACAGCTCAATAAAAGTTTCACATATCTACTTTCTTCACTCTTTTCTTGGCCATCATTTCTTAATTTTATATAAAAGCAATCTTGGATCTCAAAGTGAGCTGATCTCATTAATAATAGTTGCTTTCTCAGTTTGTTCATTAATTTGTTGAATAAACCATATGCCAGGTGCTATTCTAGGCACAGAGAACATAGAATAAAACAGAGTGCTGATCTTACGGAAGTCAGAGTTCAGACTGGGAAGCAGATATCAAAATGAGTGAGTGAACATAAGGAAAAGGATTATGTGTCGGGGGAAGCTGATGTCCATGGAGAGGAGAGGAGGCAAAAGAACTGAACATTAAAGGGACTGGAGGAAGCAGTCCTCCCAAGTGTCAGGAATGGGTGGTTGAAGTGGCACAGTGTTTGCCAATTGCCAGTATCGTTGGAACCCAGTGGGCCGGGGTGGAGTTTGGCTTGAAAAGGGGTTGGAAGCATGGTGATTGTCAGAGCTTTCAAGAACTGTGTCGCTTTCCCAGGGCAGTGGAAAGCCACGAAGTGCCACGTACGTTTTGGTAGTGTGCAGAAGGTAGATAAGAGTGAGATGTCAGGAAGTGGCAGTGCTCCTTCTGAGAAGCTTGGTGCTCCTGTGGATTAGGGCAGCTAACAAGGAAAGACTGGCAAGCTACCGAGAGTATTCCGCCCGCACGGAAGAGCCTGGCAAGCTATCCGCTGTGTATTCGATATGCCAAAACCAGTAACTACAACTGGTCTCATTCACCTGACGTTTCACTCAAATGAGAGAACGAATCCGGAGTTCTGACATCCGTCGACGATCAAGGATCAGGGACGCTGTCTCATTTGCCAAGGTGTCGAAAATCAGATGGGCTGGTCACGTAATGAGATTTAAAGACGACCGTTGGACTAGAGCTGTTACTGATTGGATTCCACGGGATGTCAAGAGACCGCGTGGCCGCCCACCTACCAGATGGTCAGACTTCTTTGTCAAGGTCATGAACGATCGGTTTGAGGCCCTCCATGTTCCCGGAGCGAAGAGATGCCATTGGGCTACACTAGCACGCGACAGGGACAAATGGAGACGTTACTGGCGCCCGCTCGAGCAAATCGATGACTAACGGGAAGTTAAGTGATTTAAGTGATTAAGTGAACAAGGACAGTGGAGAGAGCGGCTATGTCTGAGATTCACTAGATGATGGGTTGGTGAGGAATGGCTTTCAGATTTCTGGGTTGAGCATCTACATGACTCCTGGTTTGGGGTCACGATCACGATCACCATCATCCCGTTGTTTGTCGATTGCCTCGAGAAGGCACCAGTAACGTCTCCTTCGTCCTAGCCCTGAGATTCTAAAAGGTGCCACATTCAAGGCTCTTTCAGGGTTTTATCTGTATCACTATCCTCCCGTTGTTCATCGATTTGCTCGAGCGGGCCCAGTAACGTCTCCATTGGAGACTTTTTTGTTACTGTGTTTGGCATATCGAATATATCACGGGGAGCTTGCCAGGCTCTGCCCTGCGGGCGAGATACTCTTGGTAGCTTGCCGGGCTCTCCGAGAGGGGTGGAGGAATCGAACTCGGGTCGGCCATGTTGGCTGTGCGCAAGGCAAACGCCCTACCGCTGTGCTACTTAGGAGAATGAAACCCATCATCGTTACTGGTATTTAGCATATGGGTACGCCACGGGGAGTTTGCCAGACTCTGCCGTGTGGGCAGGTTACATTCGGTAGCCTGCCAGGTTGTCCAAAGTAAGAATGAGATAATAAGATGTCGCACAGCCGCAAATGCGGCCATGCTTTTCCGGGAGCTGGGTTTTATAGTCTCTGGGTCTTGGCCGTTGATGGGATTACACGGCGCAGGGGGTGGGGGGATGGGGGGTGGGGAGGAGGGGCAGTTGGTGGGTGTGACCCCCGCTTACTGGAAGATGGAGGATCTGGGTGGAGGATGCTCAGCCCTGATCCAAGCAGGCTTGGAGATCTCAGCCCCGGGACCTGCATGCCTTTGTTCCTCTGCCGGTACCTTCATGCATGTGGAGAGTGGTCTCAGCATGGTTGTGGCTGGTTCTGGAGGTCTTTGGCTGCCGGAGCCCTGGTCGGGGCGGGGAGGGAAACTCAACCCGCTGCCCTCCAAGTGGCCC